CAAAAGGTGGACCGACATCATATTGAACTCTGGGTTAGGAATGGGATGGCACTTCAGTTCATAGTATGAGTCAAGGCAGGTGAGCCAATACTTTTGGTAATATAGTGTATTTTCACCACTTTAAGTCTTTAAGGACCACTGACACTTGGGCACTGGTGACTTTGAAGACTGTAACTCATGGCATAGGAATCACACTTGAACGTCTTTATGAAGACTCAGCTCAGACCAGATGGGCCTTTTTTTTTCTCTTCACTAATTTATTTCTTGATTTGAAGTCTTTCAACACAGCTCAGACATTCTAAGCAATTTGGACTGACGTTTGAAATCTTTTTTTTTTTTTTTTGGGACTGAACTGTACTGGATGCTGTTTGATCACACTGTCTACTTGCCGTTGATAGCAGATAGGTCTTCTTTGGTGGTCTCTTGCAGGAACGTCTCAGTGAGTACATAGGCATTTTACGCCGCTTCATGGGATTCCTAGCCATCTGTGTTCTAGTCTTGGTGAGCATCCGTTACACTGACCCAGTTCAGCAGAGTCTGGAGCTGCTGCAGCAGCTCAAAGAGACACAGTGCAGCCTTCAGGAGGCACTACAGCGAGCAGGTCAGTAACTTCTAACACAGACGCCTCTGGCGGATGAAACGTGAACTGCCGCACTGACACTACGTGTCTGCAGAGCAGCTCGGAGACACTCCGAAAACACTGCAGGCCACCGAGGACACCATGGGGACTCCTGATGTCCAACAGAGATCGGTGAAAAGAAGTGACAGAAAGGAAGTATTCAAGAACAGGAGAAGGAAGTACAAAGAAGAGCAGGAAACACTGATGTCTTTGACCACGGACACCACAGACATGTCTGTCCTCTTACAGTCCAGTCAGTTCCAGTTGGTTGTCGTATTTCTTTCTCAAATAGAATTTAGAAATTGAATTCAGCCTTCTGGTAACAAAAAACATATTCCGGAAATGTATATGCTCCAAAACTGTAGCAGGACATTTTCAAGTCAGGTTTTTCTAATGGTAATGTAAAGATAATTTGAAAAAAAAAAGGAAAAGGGCCAGGAAAATTTTTAAAGATTTTACAGAAATTGTTGGAGATTGTTGATCTCTCTCACCCTGTCTTTTTGTGTTTGTGGTCCAGCTTTTCAGAGTCCTGACTCCACCCTGCTATCCTCCACTACCCTTGATGCTTCAGTGAGTCCAGAACGACGTTCACGCAGGTCTTGCCCTCCGCCCCTGGTCTACAGCGTTTTGGTGGATGACAAAGAGGTAGATTTAATTATTAGTGTTTATTTCAAATCTAGCAATGATTCTAAAAAAAAAAGTGATCACAGACTGATTCGCTACAACGAATTCGCTACAATGACTATTGCTTTTTTTTTATCCTGACTACAGCCTCGTTATAGTCTAAGAAGTCGACGATCGGAGAAACACTAACCCCCAAAACCCTGCAGAGGCAGATGTTCTGAGCTTCATGTTTTTACTCTTTCAAAAAGTAAATAAAGTTTGAATTTAAATAATAACTAAAAAAAAAACCAAAAAAACGGTTGTATCTTTTTTTTCTGGTGTCATGTGACATGTTGATATCTGATATCCTCAGACCCAGTTCGATGTGTACAATATGTACCGTCATTTCCGAACTGTAAGCTACTACCTTTTTTTACACGCTTTGAACCCTGTGGCTTAAACAAGGACGCGGCTAATTTATGGATTTTTACGGGCTAACAAAGTTCATACCATTATCAGTCATTGACTTTTCGTTTACGTTTGAGTCCTGTCATGTTGAAGCGTGATTGGTTGGTTATACAGGAGCTGTTAAAACTCGCGATGTTTATGTTCTGTTGTGGTCCGTGTGGCTGATAGTAATGACCCCAACTTCCCTGTTTCTTTTTAGGGAGTTAGCCCCGGAGCTAATGTTAGCTGCAGCCCTTGAGCAGAAATAATAATATAAAAAAATTACAGTAAATAATCAGATAAAAGAACATAAATTAAACATTATTTAATATGAATTCTAATTAATAATTCGGCCTTTCAAACAGTTGCACTTGTTTTTTTATTTTTATTTGTTTACTGTCCTTTAATGAGAGAAAGGGCGTTGGGATTTGTGCTACGGTCCCTAATGAGGGCAGAGGTTACAGTCAAGAATGGGACAAAGAAGACGAGCGACAGGAGAAGAGGGAAGAGCGAGAGTGTGACATTTGAAGAAAGTTGGTGTTTTCATTCTTTTGGAGGATCCCCACCGTTCTTCTTGTCTGTGGTGCTGATGGTAAAGTTTAGTAAAAAGACTTCCAGAAAGTTCCACAACTGAAAAGATTGCTCCGTGCGTCACCAGCGATCTGAACTTATTACACATTCATACGGTGTGATTTCTTTATAACAGGTTGTATTTCATTTCAGTGAAAAGTGTTGATGTGGTACATTTCTGAATCTAGAGATTAATCTAAATTTACTGCTTGATAAAATAGAACTAAAATCCAAATTAGGCCTAAATCATAATTAGATATTGATCCCAACAAAAAGAAGTTAACTATTATTTCTATATAGATTTAATCCAAAACATAGTGAAATTTTTTTGAATATTTCTTTTTATTATTTTCCATACCGTTCCGTTTCATATTTTTCATATTCATGTTTAATGTTATATATACATATAAATAAGCCGGCAGTTCTAATGTAGCCCTGTGTCTGTGGTCTGTTCATTTAAACAAATCTAACACAGTCTGTTCCTTTCGAATCTGGTCTATAAATGATTTGGAACTGTTGTCAACATCTACAGTGTTACAATAGCATTTTAAGTTTTTATAACCACGATACATTTCAACTCTTATGACTTCCCCCAAAATGAAGAAAGAGAGAAAGACTAGCATTAAAAAAAAGGCATTCAATATTTAGTATTTGAAATTGTTATTAATTAATTAATATTTGTTTAGTTTATGAATCCCTTGGAAGAGTACAGAATCCCTTGCATTACTCAAGTACTGCCATAAAAGAAATTAAGAAAAAAAAATACTGCATTACTCAAGTACTGCCATAAAAGACATTGATGTGATATTGAGTCATATTGATTTTCTGACAGCAAACTGGCAAGTAGCCTTTCATAACATTGATACATAAATATAGAGTAATATAATAAACACTTTTTATTATGACATAAGTCGCTCCAGAGTACAAGTCGCACCAGTGCCCTCTAGCGCCTGTCAGTGTGAAATGAACAAACGTACATTTTCATTTGTACAGGGGTAGCAGATACTGGTACGAAAGCCTAGAGGGCCCTCTAGCGGCTGTTAGTGTTAAATGAACAAACATGTACTTTTTCATTTGTACGGGGGTAGCAGACACTGGTACACAAGCCTAGAGTGCCCTCTAGCAGCTGTCAGTGTGAAATGAACAAACATGTCCATTTTCATTTGTACAGGGGTAGCAGACACTGGTACACAAGCCTAGAGTGCCCTCTAGCGGCTGTGAGTGTGAAATGAACAAACGTACATTTCCGTTAATAAAGGTTTCGCAGAAATGGCTACAAAAGCCTAGAGTGCCCTCTAGCGGCTGGGGGTGTGGAATGAACAAACATCTACATTTTTTATTTGTATTTGTACAGGGATAGCAGATACTGGTACACAATATTTCTTAACATAGTAAGTAATAAATAATTTTGCTGATATTGAAGTAAAACATTACAGAAATAAAGTAATGAGTGTCAAAGAGTGTTAAAATACTCTTTTAAAAAAAGCGCACTCTCTTTGCGTTGTGTTAAATAATTGCGGTAAAATCATCAGCTTGGTATGTCATCTTTTATTTTTAAGGTATGAAAAAAGGGAAAAAAAGTCACTCCATTTTGTAGCAACACACACACATCTCCCGCTAAAAATGATAAAGTATAAATAAAAGTAGTAAATAATAATAAAATTAAAATAATAAAATCAATTAATGACAGCCCTCCTAACGTGTACACATACTATAAGGACAGCAGAGACCGACTGCTGCTCCTGAGGTGAATGACCCTAATCCGGGGTGTTGCATTTAATGACTGTACGGTAAATTAAGATTTTTCTTACGTGGTGTGTAGTAAACTGTTTTGTATGGTTTAGGATAAGGTAAGAACTCGGCCGTGTTGGTTTTGTCCTGAGGTATATACGACAAAGCGAGTTTAGTGGGTTAGCTGTGAGGCCTTGGTTTTTGTTGTTCTTTGTTTCTGTACTGTTTCATTTTGTATTGTGGGCGTCTGCGTGGAGGGCGTCGGCCTGCGTTGTCTCCTCCCACTGCAGGAAGTACGTTGATAAGAGTTGGTTAAAAAACAAACTATTTGTCAAAGCCATGAAATGTGCCGTAATCTCCGGACTATAAGTCGCACCAAAAAAAACCCCATAAAAGTCACTCCTCCTGGTGCAGCATATCATTCGTCTTCATGAGATCCCCCAGGACGTGTGTCTGACCGGGGTCCACAGTTCTCTCTTCACAAGTATGAAGGACGTTCTGTAACTCACCGGTGCTGCGCTCATCGCAGGTGTGTCGACTTGTCTTGCCCCCTCTTCACACAAGGCGATCTCGGTCATTCTCCACCCTGTGATATTTTTTTATGACATACTATTCTTCTATGACCTATTATGACTATAACTGTACCATTTCTATGTATTATTATTTATTATTATTTTTGTATTCTGTATGTTTACTGTAGCTCGAATGTTGATTGACTTACACAAATTGTAAGTCACTTTGGTGATAAAAGTGTCTGCTAAATGTATTGTAATGTAATAGTCTCCAAGACTAAGAGAACCACCATTGGTCCATCGTCTATACTAGATTTATATATTGTAAATTTATCCCAACCTTTTCTGCGATGTGGCAGATAAATACGACCAAAAAAAAAAAAAATGATACGAACGGCATAAAAACTTTTTTTTTCTTCTAAATATAATAATAAACGTTAAGCCACTGTGTATTCAACGTTATTAGCAACGTCCTCGTAACATCGCACTTGTTTTTTTTTAATGCAGAATGCATTAGTATATGGACAGAGGTAAGATGGACACTTTTAGATGTATAGTTGAAACCCTTTTTTGGATTCGATTATTCACAATAATATATAATATATAATATATAATATATATATAATATATATATATTAATGGAATATTGTTGTGATTATAGTGTATTTTATATTATTTTTATGAATGCATACAGTATATTTAGCATTTTCCTTTTTGTTTTGGTTTCTTGTTTTGTTTGTATTTATTGTATTAGTTATACAATACTTTCATGCACATATGGAATAGTGCAAAACTTTTCTGTAGTTGAAGTTTCCAAAGTAGTGGGCACCCCCTGGTGGGGTGTAGTGGCATTTCAGTGGGGGGCATGAATGGACTGAATGACTAAAATCTAGTACAGCGTTGTAAATGTTTAACAAGAAACTGGGCAAAAAATACTTATTTAAAATTCTTGCTCATGTTCTTGCTGTTGCCTGGAAAAAAAAAAAAACAACAAAACAAAAACAAGTAATATTATTGTGTAAAAGTAAGGATTGAACCAATGTGGAAACAAGCCCCAAACAAGGATGGATCAAAAAAAAAATCATAGATTTGGCCATAATTTTTCAAAGGCGAGAACAGAGAAAGAGAAGAGAGAAACAAGAAAGAAAAAAAGAGAAGAGGGCATAGGGGGAGGAGGAGCAACTTGGTCTCGGATCAGATGTCTGGGTTCTGGAGAAGGAGGAGTCTCACGGTCTCAGTCTCCACTCAGATTTTCACAAAAGACTGAAGCTGCAGAAAACAGAGACCACTGTTTGTCCATCTGTCTGACTACTGTCACTGTGTTTGTATGCCATGTGTGCTGAGAGGACAGGGGGGTGACGAAGGATGTGTCCTCTCCACGAGGTTCAGGGCAACAGCAGGACCGGGACAAGCCAGCAGATGTGGAGCTGAGTCAGCACTTTCTGAGTTTCCAGTTTTCCAGGAAGACGCACGCTATCTTGACCCAGTAGCTGGCATAAAGATGACGATGGACATGGAAGGGAGACGAAAAAAGATTGGACGATTTATGGACAGGGGGAGAACGAGAGAGGGCGAACGGACTCTATGTGACTGCAGCTGCAGTAGGAAGGAAGTCCTGGATTTTCACAGTTGAAGCTCCACATCTGCTAAGTGGAAACACGCTGACCTTTGACTCATATCCTCCTCCTCCTCTTCTTCTTACTGCTTTCTCCGGTGTCTTCAGCACCAGTGGATTTGAATAAAATGTGAGTTCCACATACTGGACAGGTGAGTCCAAACATCTTTGTAATCTCCCGCTTGTTTCTCTTAGGGATTTTCTGTCCGTTTTCCAAAAGTATAATTACTTAAGTGTAAGTGAGAACAGAGGTATCTGCTCACCTGTGATACTTTATTTCATCTAGGAAACACAAAATTCTTATTATTCTCCCACACCAAGGGCCGTAGAGGCAATTGATGATCTTAGCCTGTCGTCTTTTGTCACTAAATCTAACATAAATAGTGGATTTGAGCATTAACCCTTTGATGCGATTGAGCGTGGATTTGAGCATTAACCCTTTGATGCATGACCCATGATATACTGAGTTAAAAAAATGTTACTAAGTGTTTTTATGTGTTTTTAGACATAAAAATAAGAACTGATTTGGTTCTGCTTTTATACACCAAATTTTCTTTTTGAATGTTGACACAATTATTCTGCAGTTGCAAAGGCTGACCACTGTATGGCAGTGTTGGGTGATTCTCCGGCGTCCACTGTAGAGGCTTACATGCAACACTGCCATCAAAACCTATCCTTATCATAGAAAATGACATTTTCACAGCTGTCCACTGTAGTGACCGTCATGCATGAAAGGGTTAACTTAAAAAGATCTTTAGGTCTAGCAGCGAACCGTGTCAAGTTCTAGTTCAGGCATGGGCAAACTACGGCCCGGGGGGGGCAGATGCGTCCGACTTGGTTTTTTAATCTGGCCCGCCAAATTTATCCAAATGATGTTATTTATTTATATTATCATTCTTCTTCCCTGCAATGCTCACGCTTCCCCACTAGATTGTGTAGAAGAAGAAGCTTAGCCTTTATGAATGACTTTTTTTTTATATCTTAGTGTATCTGAATGCTCCATCTATCTGCTCCTGACCCCGGCACCCCTGTCAAATTTTAGGACCCATTGTAGTCCGCGAGTCAAAAAGTTTGCCCACGCCCGTTGTAGTTTCATTAGCCTACTTGTCAACTCATTGTTCTGGTTGTTGACTATGTTAGTGTTTCAGCTGTTTAGCCGGCCTCCAGCTGCCAGCCACTGGTCCGACAACGATCCAAGTGTTATGACAATTACACATATATTTACTGCAGATGTTCACACTGTATCAGAGAATACCTGGGGCTACGAGATATATTAAAATATGCGTTTCTATCTGTTTGCAGTCATTTGTACAACTGTATATGTACAAATACTGTAGTACCTGAACTTTAACCAGGCTGATGTAATAGAAACATCTTATGTTTCAGCTGCAGTAAAACTAAGGTGTGTGTGTGTGTGTGAAGGTCAAAGTGACACACTTCGTTACATTAGTACTCTCTCTCTCTCTCTCTTTCTCTTTCTCTTTCTCTCTCTCTGCAGACAAACTGGTCACATGATCATCTTCTTCCTACAACACAATTATGTGGTCTTTATGATTATGTGAAATCAGAAATCTCGAGAGAAGAAAGCCATGAGTTAGATCTGCTTTTGTCTCTGATAACCCTTACATCAGGGGTCGGGAACCTTTTTAGCCGAGAGAGCCAAAAAAAAAGTCACGTATTATTTTTACCACTACGATTTCTGTAATGTTCCACTTGAATATCAGCAGAATGATTTATTCTTTATTGCGTTAAGAAATACCAGCTTAGATTTATCTGAGCGCCAGATGCAGCCATGAAGTTGAGCCACATCTGGCTTGCGAGCCATATGCCAGATGCAGTCATGAAATTGAGCCACATCTGGCTTGCGAGCCATAGGTTCCTGACCCCCCCCCCTTGCTCTACATTGTCTTCCTTATCTCTTATCAAGTCTTCTAACATCATACGTTTCCCATCCATTTGTCACTTTATTCTTTTTGCCAGATCGAGCCTGTGGTTGCTCCGCTGTGCCTGCCCACGGGGGCACGCCCCCCACTTTGGGAACTTTGCTGTAAAGCAAGCAAGCCCTTTAAACTTGGGCCACTGTGTGCTTATATTGATGGTTGACAAGTGATGTCTCTTTACCCTTGTTCACATTCATATTAAGTTTTCATATTCATATTCATATTAAGAAAAAAACACATCGCATCTGTGGGCTAATTCGTTTGAAAACATGAAACCGAAGATTTCTAAAAACCTGTGTGTCGCGGATAATTGACCAAAAGGAAAAGAAACGGAGAAAGAGTAAAACCCGAAGAGAAGATCATGCAAATTGTGAAGTAGTTACATCTATACAGTCTTCCATTTACACTAGTGGTTCTTCATTTTGTTTTCTGTCATGGTCGCCTTGGGGACAGAAATGTTTCAAGCCGCCTCCCCCACCCCCGGACACACATCCCCGCAAATTGAAATACTATTAAGAACCTGATAACATGTATATTTCTATCTGTACAAACCACTGTATGAGTTGCTGCCCCCTAGTGACTGGAGGCTTGTTATCATTCAAGCATTACAGCAGTGGTACACTTATGTCCAGCGTGCCATATTCCATTGAAAGCCCCTCAGATCACCCTAGGCATAGGGGAACTGTACTGCTAATATGGTCCTCTGGTGGAAATGAGTTTGACACCCCTGGACTAGCGTCTGGGCAAGAGAGCCTGCTCCAAGGAGACAGGACCAAGGACATCAAGCTTGGGGGAGGCTAAACCAAAAAGACCAGAATAGGTAGACTCTGCAAGAGAAGAGAGACCAGAAGAGACACTGTGTGACCAGATGTCACACGTCTACTGTGCTCTCTCTGCCACTCTCGCTCTCTCTCTTTTTTTTCCCCCCTCAACTCTGTTGTCATAGAAACCAATATTTCTCTCTCTCTCTCTCTCTCTCTCTCTCTTACCCTTGCTTTGTCCCCGCCCGCTCTCCTCTCTCTCACCGGGCAACTCATTGAGGCAAACCGAGCGAATCTAACCTACTTATCTCTGCGTGCGTGTGTTTGCGGTCTGCTGCGGGTTCAGGTCCAGTACTGGTCTGGTTCGGATCTGGTCCTGGTTAATGTGTGCGCGTGTGCAGGTAAGCGTTTGCGCGCCTGTCTCCAGCTGGGAACCGGGGAAAGAGAGAGTGGGAGAGAGTCGCTCTCTCTCGCACCAACACTGATTTTAATGACTGGATTCGTGTTCTGCTGCGCCATGTACATGGACACCAGCAAAGGTGAGAACACGCGCGCGCACACACGCACACACGCACAGACCGATAATCTGAGTGAGTGACAGACACAGAAACGTACACATACAGTATGTGCAGTGATGCACCAAGTGCATGGACACGGGCAGATGTGAGAGCACGCGCGCACGCGCACGCGCTCGCTCGCTAAAAGAACCCAAACACAAACGCCGATTAACACAGCGGTGCACTGACAGAGACGTGGGGGGAGGGTCGGGAATGACACACCGACGTGCACGCGCGCCCCGCATCAGTCTGTCACGCACGCGCGCACACTGACCGACATCTCACCGCAATGAATGTCGGGTAATATGGCAGCACGAGACTGCGTCTGCCGCAGATGCTGCACGCGATACATCTGGTTCTTTAATCCGATTATCCGATCGGTATCGATCCGTAACGTCATCCGACGTTTACGCAGACAGAAAAAATATACCTGTGTGTGTGTGTGTGCACATCACTTCTCTGACATTGTATCTGGTAGTGTGTGTGTGTATGTGTGCATGTGTTAGGATGTGCTCTGTCCATGTGAATTTGTACACACGCGTCAGTATGTATGTGCATCATTGTGTGTGTGTGCGTGTGCGCGCGCGCGCACGCGTTGCGTGGGTCTCGTGCGGTGATTTTGGTTGAGCAAATTCTGATCCAAAATCACCTTATTGCAGGAGCAGGAAATTCCCATGAATCCCTACACAGCAGATCGTCTGAGCAATCCGTCAAATGTTAGTGTGTGTGTGTGTGTGTGTGAGAGAGAGAGTGTGTGTGTGAGTGAGAGAGAGAGAGAGGGGGGACGTGTTGCATATGTGTGGATATATCTACACATGTGCCAAACTCTATGTGCATCATTGTGTGTGTGTATGTGTGTGTGAGAGAGAGACAGAGAGAGATAGCGAGAGAGAGAGAGAGGATGTGCTGCATACGTGTGTATATTTGTACACCTGTGCCAATCTGTATGTGCATCAGTGTGTTCGTGCGATGCGATGCATGGATCGAAAATCGTCAGAACTGATTTTTTTTTAGTACGAGCAGAACTTTTTATGAATCCATACAGAGCAGATTTTCTTTCAATCTCCATGTGTTTTTTTTTTTTTTTTTTGATGCCGCAGCACAGTGAATGTAAATTGGTCGTGTGAGGTGCATTTACCCTCTGTAACTGTTACCGGCAAATAGTACCAGGGACCGTTTTAACAGAACCTAAATGATTCATTTTTACCCGCCGAAAATGTTTTTGTTTTCGACATGCAATTTTGTTTGGTGTCATATCATGATGTACATTTTTTTGCCCGCTTCTTAGTAGATCTCCATCGACAATGTATTAACAGTGTTATGGACGCAATCATATAATTAAAAAAAAAACTATTACTATTTTAAATTTTTAAGGTTTAAGATTTTTATCTGCAACATTTACTAAAGATACCGCTCTGTAAAGAATTTACTTCATGATAATGATATATTTTTTTCTCTGCCTTTTTATCTTACCCTCACTGTTAAACTAACTTTTAACGTTTATAACCATTCACTCTGCCAAAATCTATCGGGAAAATTTTCTCATTTCAGCTAACAGGAACACAGCTTCTGTTCCATCCCTGCCTCCTGTGGACAGTTTGTGTCAAGTGGTGGACGTGGCAGTGGATTAACTGCTGTCCTCGAGTCCGAGACTCGGACTCGAGTCGCACAAACTAAGACTTGTGACTTGACTTGAGACTTGCCCTCTAAGACTCGAGACTTGAGACTTGCCCTCTAAGACTCGAGACTTGAGACTCGAGACTCGGACTTCGGTGTTATGACTCGCGAGTCCTTGATTATGAATAAAGTCCATAATCAAGGAATTATCTATTTTGTCATTTAACTCATTTCACTTTTTCCGATGCGTTTCCCAGCGTGATGCCTCAAGTTTAGGTTTCATATCACAGTGACCATGGCGGCGGCAAGTCAGACTGGAGCGATTCCTTTTGTCATTGCATTTGCTTATAAAGACTTTGCGCAGACATCCAGTAAGCGGACGGCTACTTGTAAGGAGTGTGGCGTTAAGATAAATTATGCTGGATCAACAACGTCGAACTTTCTCAGGCACCTCAGAACACACTAGGATAGGTCAGTGGGCTTGTATGGGAAGATAACCGTTACCGTTAGCAAACTAATTCAACCACAGTTGTAGTCTGTTGGCTAGTTTTATAGTTCCCCTCCCCTGACGTTACCGTTTTATTTTATACTTCAGGCCACTACATTTAGCGGCAAGTAGCAGCCTGCATGAACGGCTGTTTTAGTTTAGACTAATGTTGTCACTGACATAACAGAAACGGAAACCGCATTGTTGTTGATCAACTTTGATGGTGCAGTGTGCAATAATATATTATAGGCCTGTACTGTAGTACAGTACAGTACATACAGTTACACATTTTCAGTTGTCATTTTCCTCAATTTGTTGTTTTCAGTTGGTAAAAGGACAAGACCACATACGCAAATAAGTTTGCGTTAAGTTTCACATTGCACATGCACGGGACATTGTTTTGATCAACTTTGATGGTGTAGTGTGCAATAACATATTATAGGCCTCCAGTACAGTACAGTACATACTTTTAATCCAAAACAACACAGCAATGCAGTATTATCTCGGGTAGCGTCTAATACGAAAACTTTCATTTCAGCTATTTGAGACTTGACTTGGACTTGGGACGAAAGACTTGGGACTTGACTTGGCATTGCCCCTCAAAGACTCGAGACTTGACTTGGACTCGCGCATAAAGACCTGAGACTTGACTTGGACTTGGAAAAAGTGACTTGTGAACATCTCTGGTGTATGTGCAGTCGACATTTATACTGAGTTTATAGGAACAACACAAAGTAAAGCAGGATAAGCTTTACGAATGTCATTGAAAACCACCACTGTGACCTGTCCTCAGGTCCCACTTCCACCTCGAGCCCCAGTCTACAGAGTAAGAACCTCCCTCTGGAATCAACCTGCTCATCGTGTGACCACCAGCAGGCACTGGATGGTGACAATCTACAACAGCCTGGCCCATGTATATCAGGCCCTGCCTTGCTTGAGGAGGGGGTTCTGGAAATGGAACACTGCAGCTTAGCGCCCAAGCCGCAGCTGAGCGATGACCGGGGTCGGCCAGAAATGACTGATACATCTCTCTGGACCCAAACCTCAGGGTGAAAATCTTGAAAACAATTCGTTGGAGATAGATGTAAAAGCTGATGATGACATCACTAACTATCTCGCAACTCTGCAATTTACAGTTCCCCCAAAGCCGCTGCATCTCCAGCATGGGTTGCTTTCACGACCACAATCGCGAACTTCAGGCAAGCCTCTTCCACCTCCTCCACCATGCAGACCACTGCCTACAGACCCCAGAGGTGGGCGCAGTCCACCTATATGTGCTGACGGCACTGCCTCCCCAACGTGTGTCTTATCACTCATCGAGAAGTTTGAGCGGTGAGTTCTAATCATTTTTTTGAATTCAGTTTAAAAAATAAATAAAATGAAAATAACAGTTAAGATGTGAGTCTTTCGGGTCTAAGATAACTGCAGCTACTTAGTTCAGAAGGTAACGGAGGTATAACTCACAGTCTACACCAGTGCTTCTCAAATAGGGCACGAGGTGTCACAGGGTGCGCGAGAGGGGACTTTTAGTGTACTTTATTTATTCAGGCGTAAGCGATAAACAAACCTCCAGTCACTAGATGGCAGCTTTGCAGCTCATTTTATTAATCTATTTTCATAATCACGGGATTACGTGCAGAATGATAGAGCCAGCAACTCATACAATGGTTTGTCCAGATAAATGAATAAATATTACCAGGTGCTCAACAGTATTCCTGTATTTGTGAGCATGCTCAATTAAGCTAATAGTACACCGAGTATGCATCGTATTTGGCAATTGTACGCTTTTATCATTGTCAAAACGAGAATCCAGAGGTGTGGACTCGAGTCGCATGACTTGGACTCGAGTCAGACTCGAGTCACCAATTTGATGACTTTAGACTCGACCTGACAAAATGTAAAGAGACTTGCCACTCGACTTGGACTTTGACATCAGTGACTCGTGACTTCACTTGGACTCGAGCCCTTTGACTCGACAAGACTCGATACTTTCTCCAAAACCCAAAGTGATCTGTGTAAATATATTGTTATTTTGTTTGAAAAGGACTCGAAACAGAAACGGCAGGACTTGGGACTTGACTTGACACTTTTCAGTCTTGACTTGGACTCGACTCAGGATTTCGCCTGTCTTGACTTGAGACTTGACTCGGACTTGAGTGCAAAGACTTGAGACTTACTTGTGACTTGCAAAGCAATGACTTGGTCCCACCTCTGCGAGAATCCACATCTTTAAAGCCAAAACCTCCGCATGTAGTGTAAAATTATTTTATAATGTCTTTTACTTCATTTTTTTTTGCTATATTTCGCAAGATCGGATTGTTTGCCATCTATTGGCTTTCACTTTCACATACAGCCGTTTTTCCCCATTTGGCAAAACCCTTGCATTGCGTTATCGGGTTTTCATTATTGGAGGAAAACCCGATACCAATTCGTACAGATATTACATAATTATGATAATATTGGGCTGATAATATCGGTCGGACGACACTTGGGAAATTCTAGTATTAACAGCAAATCTGCTGCAACAGGCTGCCCTTTGCAGGCACCAAGTATGTGGTTCTATCTACAGAAACTTGCTCAGAAACAATGAAACTTTCTAAAACCTTTTTGTTACTGTATGTTTCCTGACAGGGAGCAGCTTATTGTTGTTCCTGACATCACCGGAGGAGCGTTATGTTCACGTCTCCCTGACGTGCCTTCCTCCAGACCTACATCACCTTCATCATCCTTTTTCTTTGCCCCTTCCCAACTTAAGGAGGACCAAGCTCCTCAGCTCAAGAGTCCTGATAACATCAGACAGGAGTTTAAGGATGAGCAGAAAGTGGACTGTGACCGAGGCCATGAAAATGATAACGATGATGATGAGGAGGAAGAGGAAGAGCTGGCTGCAGCGGGCAGTGGTGATGTCAATCAGAAACGTCTGTCCATGGAGTCTGGCTACAGTGCTTCAGAAAAACAGCAGGAAGATGATGTTGTCGCCGTTGAAATGAGGGAGCAGCCACCCACACCGCTACTGTTACTGGACCAATCAGGGCTTCCGTCCGAGCGTCTGTCTCTTCCCTCTTCGCAGACTGACGGAAAACTGGCTAATCGGGACAGTGGCATCGACAGCATCAGCTCTCCATCACACAGTGAAGAGCTGTGTTTCACTGGTGTGGATGACGTGTGCATGGTCTATCCATGTAGTCCTGCTCTGCCGCCACATCTCTCTAGCTCATCCTTATATGCAGGTGAGGAAGAGCAGGAGGAGGCAAGAGAAATGAGAACGGCCGAAAGAAGGATTCATGTTTCAGAGGAGGGAGACAGTGATCTGGAGGAGGAAGAGGCAGAGCTAACACTGGTATTGACTTCACCTCAACCTGAAAGAAATGACTCTGTGGAGGTGAGACCGGAAACCGTATGAGATATGGTTGTAAGCGGCGAGGCCTCAATTGGTGTTTTTTTTTTTTTGTGCGTTGTGTGCAGATGTCGGTACAGCAGAGGGTGTTCAACATCGCTAGTGAACTCCTCCATACAGAGATCGCCTACGTCTCCAAACTTCATCTTCTCAACCAGGTGGATTTATTTATTGGGAATGCGCATTAAAAAACCTGGACTACTGTTAAAGACTTTGTAGTAATTTCGAATTAGAATGATCTGTTTGATGCCTCCAACATTAATTTGGAAGAACCATTGTTGTCACCTCTCTCCTCGCAGGTCTTTTGTGCTAGACTCTCAGAAGAGGCACGGTCCCGGTCATCATTCCCCTGCGATGTTGTTCAAGGAATTTTTTCCAACATCTACTCCATCTACTGCTTCCACGAGCAGTTTCTGCTGCCTGCGTTGCAGAAACGGATGGAGGAGTGGTGAGAAAGCGCTACCTCCTCTTTTTTTTTTATTATCTCCTATTTACAGCTTTTAATGGAAATAAAGCCTGGCCATGTAAAAGCTGTTTACATATTTAAGTTCAATGGATGTTGGCTACTTCCACTTCCTTCCCCCACACACTGCTGGGTGCTCAGCTTGCGCTGCCCCCCTGTTCACTATGGTGATAAGTTAAAGGCAGAGGTGACATTTTGTTGTGTGCAGTGGTATGCTAGTCGAGTGCAGACCCATTGAGCTGTTGATATAAACATTTACATTTACCCTTTTTTTTTATTTGCACTTCAATTGTATTCAGAATGTATCTGTATGCAGGAATTCAAACCCACGGATTGGGGACATCTTGCAGAAACTGGCTCCTTTCCTAAAGATGTATGGTGAATATGTGAAGAATTTTGACCGAGCCATGGAGCTAGTAAACACATGGATGGAGCGCTCAGCTCAATTCAAGAGCATCATTCAGGAAATCCAGGTTCACGTCAACAGCTGCTGTAACACAATCTCTACTCTTTTGTAGTGTAGTGTGTGTGTTTGACTTTGTGTGTGTGTGTGTCTGTTGTGTTTGTGCAGAGGGAGGAGCGCTGTGGAAACCTGACATTGCAGCATCACATGTTGGAACCAGTGCAAAGGATTCCTCGCTATGAGCTGCTACTCAAAGATTATCTCCACCGACTGCCAGAAGATGCCCCGGACTACAGGGATGCGCAGAGTATGAAACCAACACACCCCAAGACCACTGTGGCAACAGTAGGACCAGCAACAGTAAACTTAACCTAACATGAGTGAACACGAACTAACACTATTAAATACCACTTAACATCAGCTAATATCATATTTTATAATAATAAGAACACATTGGCTAAGCTTAGCTAACATGTGCTTATCATGTACTTAAAAAAAAACCAGGATACTTATTTGTTTGAATTGTTTATTTCACACATTTTAAATGTTTTTAAACTGGAAAAAATGTGCAGGGAAATATACATTTCTTTGCTATTGTATGTGGCTTTTTACACTGTGCTACTCAGTAAGCAACTTCTCACCTCACTATATGAGGTGAGATTGAACATTTGGGGTCATGGTGAAGCTTTATCAATGCTTTATTTGTGCGTTTTTGTCTGAAAAACTTTTCCTGTTTGACTTCAAGTCAGAGGTGTGGACTCGAGTCGCATGACTTGGACTCGACTCAGACTCGAGTCATCAATTTGATGACTTTAGACTCCACTTGACAAAATGTAAAGAGACTTGCAACTCGACTTGGACTTTAACATCAATGACTCGTGACTTCACTTGGACTCGGGCCCTTTGACTCGACAAGACTTGATACTTTCTCCAAAACCCAAAGTGATCTGTGTAAATATATTATTATTTTATTTAAAAGGACTCGAAACAGAAACGACAGGACTTGGGACTTGACTTGACGCTTTTCAGTTTTGACTTGGACTCGACTCGGACTTTGCCTCTCTTGACTAGAGACTTGAGTGCAAAGACTTGAGACTTACTTGTGACTTGCAAAGCAATGACAAGTTGTCACAAACAAGCAATTTAAGACACTGCGGTCTCTCCTCATTAACCACCGCTGTACAGGAAGCAGTTTTTGGCAATGCTTCATCTCTGCTTTGCATTGAGGTGGGAGTTTTGTCAAAAGCTTGCCCATTTAATGCTAGCATTGCCAACTTTGGTCGGTTGGCAGGAGTGAGATTTTGTGTGTGGAGGGTAGGGGGCTTGCTGCACAGTGGAGCTACTGCTATTCCGAGCAAATCAATCGGGCCACAGCAAAAACAAGAACGAGAATTTAAAAATAACGACGTCCTTTGCAATATTATTTTCCATCCGCAACCCGCCTGCAATGGCACTGCGATCACCGAGAGGTGCGCCTTCCACTTTGGGAGACTCTGACCTAACATTAGTATGCAGCTGGGTTGTTCCCAGCTGACGCCAAGCCAGTTGCACTATCTATCTTGGAATGTTACCTGCAATGTGAATGTTACCTGATAATCCAACGGATTAGCAAAGCACACTAATGGGCAGATAGTACTGGGCGGCTACTTCTAGGAATTTCAGGTATTCTATGCAGACGTTAGCTAAGAGTTAGCTATAGGCTGCTACATCTTCCCAATCCTTTTCACCATCTATGCCCATTTGGAACAACCAGCATTTCAATACCACAGCAGTCTTCTCTAGACAGGTGTGACCACAAAGACTCCCATTCATCGCCATCAGAAGCAGTCAGCTGTCTTTAGGGAGGTGTGACCATTTATGATACAGCACTGAAGAGGCACTGTTGAAGCCACAGAGACTATAAACTAATTACTTTGACTTTAATTAAACACCTTGTCTAACCTTTGACAATCCCTTTACAACAGCCCGCATAAACGAATATCTGCTAACACTCGGGAACACTAAACTATACAGATAGAGTTAACATCAGCTAACGTCAAACATCCTCTCGCGTCGGCTACTGTAAAAGCTACTACAGGTCACAATCTGATGTGTGTATCTCTTCAGAATCTCTGGAACTGATCGCCACAGCAGCTGAGCACTCCAACACTGCTATAAGGAAAATGGTAAGACTTAGAGATCTATCTATCTATCTATCTATCCATCTATCTATCTATCTATCTATCTATCTATCTATCTATCTATCTATCTATCTATCTATCTATCTATCTATCTATCTATCTATCTATCTATCT